ATCAGGTGACGCTGGTGGTGATGCAAGAGTGATAAGGTGGGAGATTGCTAAGGTGACGAAGATGACGTGCGAATTAAGTTGACTTACGTCATTCTGACTGGCCGAGGAGTGGAGGCCGGTGGTGGGCACTGACGACGAACGGGTGAATAAAGTCCAGGGCTGGAGAGACAAGGCGGAGAAAAACATGAGCAATGCCGAGTGGGCTCTGGGTTATTTGGATTAGTTGGGCCGGTTGAGCCGGTTGAGCTGGTTGGGCTGGTTGGGCTGGTTGGGTTGGTTGGGCTGGTTGGGCTGGTTGGGCTGGTTGGGCTGGTTGGGCTGGTCGGGCTGGTTGGGCTGGTCGGGCCCGGGGCGGCTAAGAGGCCAGCAGAGGGGCCTGATTAATCACCAATGCGGTGTGCTTGTGGCCGACTCGGTGAAGCTGATTCGCCGCTTCCGACAGACCTGGTGAACTGTCAACCCAATTGGGCCACTTGTGTGCACGAGAGAGCATGTAATCGAAGCGAGCAATTCTCGTCGAACTTGAACGGCCATAGGCCAAGCTCCAGTTCGAAGTAAAGAAGGAAAGAAAGAAAGAAATAAATAAAGAAAAGAAGAGTAAGAGAGAGCAAACGAACAGATGCTTGGAAGGTAGAAATAAGGAAGGCAAGATTTGCCGCCTGGGCGTGTGGTCCGGCCTTTGTAGTCACCTCTCCGGTCTGTATGTCCACCAACATGTCTGTCGGCCCAAGTGCATCAGTTCTGCTCAATAACCAGCTGAAAGTGCAGAGGTTGTGTGAGTTATCGATCGTCAGGTCTGACGTCCTGTCATAGCCTTGTATCCCACAGGGTCCGGGAGCTCAACTCCCCGCCTGATTGGCTGTTGCAATCGGCCTATCGCCACCGCTACTCGGGTCGATAATATTCAGGCTTCAGCTGGCCTGCCAGTGTACCCTGCATGGCCCATTGGGGGCTTGACCCTAATTCATCTATCCACTGTTTACTATTCTCTTCTCTCCACAGCGCAAGCATA